TGTGTGTGTGTGTGTGTGTGTGTGTGTGTGTGTGTGTCTTTCAGAGGCGTCCACGCAGCAGGAACATGAGGAAGACGGCGCTGAGCAGGATGCAGAGCGTGCACACGGTGGGAACCACGATCTCTGTGACCATCTCCATGTGGCCAATCAGCGGATCTGAAGCACAGAAACATACGTGTGGAAAAGTACACGTTAACGTCTCCTTCAACAGGCCGAGAGCAAAACTGGACCCCAGAGGCCTGAAGTTATCTCAGGTTATCTCAGGACATCTCAGGTTTCATCAGGTTATCTCAGGTTATCTCAGGTTATCTCTGGTTATGTCAGGTTTCATCAGGTTTCATCAGGTTATCTCTGGTTATCTCAGGTTATCTCTGGTTATCTCTGGTTATCTCAGGTTATCTCTGGTTATCTCTGGTTTGTCAGGTTTGTCAGGTCTATAATTACTCCAGTCATAAAGAGATAAATGAAGCTTTATGTTAAGAAACTTGATTTATATGATGATGAGCTCTTTTTCTCCGAACAGAGAATGAATGAAATGATGGAATGAATCCATCATGTGAAGCTGCAGCCGACAATTCTACCAATTATACTTTCTGATCAACTGATTGTTTTCAATGAAAAAAATGTCAGAAATCAGTTTATCCCTGAAGTTCAAGTTTTCATATTTTGTATTTGATTGCATGAAACACAAAAACCCTGAAACTAACTTTCATAGTTCACCTATTTAACCATTTCATATGAATTATAATGACCTCAATCAAATATCTCCACTCAGCAGCATCCGCCTGAGTGTTCACATGTCGACAGTCTTGGTCTTGAGTATTTGAGTTATGACCATGTTAATTCCCAGACATATGTCCACGTGATAGTTTTATTAAAAGTTAGATATTTGTATATGTTTTGAATCTTTCAGCAGAACAAGTGAGTTTTCAGGTTGTGACGTTTAGGCAGTGAAGTCAGAAACAACTGAGACTGATGGTGTTTGGTGTTTTCACGATGGTTTATCATCGACGAGCAGAACAGCAGTTTTAAATGTTTGTTCTCACACAGAAACATTTCTTGTACCTAAACTTCATCATGCACTGGCCAAGCCCTTTGCATCCCTGCATGTTCCTGACCTCCCTGGGACTTTCTTGCAGCTGCAGGAGCGAAACAAAGAAAAACTCTGTTAGAGAGCGAATCACAAGCTTGAGACAGACTTTTCCTTTGTTAGGCTCCAGCAGCTTCTCACAGACTTTGTCACCCACCTGCAGCCAGGAGCTGGTTACTGGAGGAACAGGTCTCCACTGCTTTCCTCTTCCAACTCTCCACCTGCACAGATGCAACACATGGGACTCAACCACAAGACATGATGACCAACACATACACCTCTCTGCTCTGTCACCGAGGACACATGTAGAAAATAGCAACACGAGAAATAATCATCAATAATCTGTTGAGCACTATTCAAAAACATGAGGCGACATCTGTCGTTACTTTCTTCTGATGTGACGAGTCCTTTCACTGATTTAATTTAAACTGCTGCCGTTGTTTTATCTGCAGCTGAGTTGTGTTCTTGTGTTCTTACAGTGTTGTTCTTGTGTT